GTCTGAGTAGCACAGGATTCAAGCCCAGGAGATGTGCCCCAGTGCCTGCATTTGTACTCAGAGAAGCCCCAGTCCTAGAAAGTCAAACTGCGGTTACCAGGACCTGGGAGAGGAGGCCATGGGGAGTTACTGTTTCTCAGCTACAGAGTTTCAATATAGGATAAGAAACTTCTGGAGATGAGCGGCGGGGATGGTTGCAAAACAAGGTGACTATACTTAATGCTACTGAATTGTACACTTAAAAATGGTTAGAATGGGCCGGGCGCGGTGGCTCACGCCTGTAATCCCAGCACTTTGGGAGGTCGAGGCAGGCAGATCACGAGGTCAGGAGATCGAGACCATCCTGGCTAAGATGGTGAAACCCCGTCTCTACTAAAAATACAAAAAAATTAGCCGGGCATGGTGGCGGATGCCTGTAGTCCCAGCTACTTGGGCGGCTGAGGCAGGAGAATGGCGTGAACCTGGGAGGCGGAGCTTGCAGTGAGCCAAGATTGCACCACTGTACCCCAGCCTGGGCAATGGAGGGAGACTCCATCTCAAAAAAAAAAAAAAAAAAAAAGGTTTGAATGGCAATTTTATGTTCTATTTTACCCCAATTTAAGGGGAGTAACACTTGTTTTTTTCTCTCTTTTTTTTTGGGGGGGGTCTTTTTTTTTTCCTTTTTGTGGAAAATGGGGTCTGACTATATTGTCCAGGCAGGTCTCAAACTCCTGGGCTCAAGCTCTCCTCCCGCCTCTGCCCTCCCTAAGAGCTGGGTTTACAGGCATGAGCCATGGCGCCCGGCCTTTACCACAATTTTAAAAAATGGCTGGGGGCAGTGGCTCACACTTGTAATCCCAGCATTTTGGGAAGCCAAGGCAAGATGATTGCTTGAGCCCAGGAGTTCAAGACCAGCCTGGGCAACATGGTGAAACCTCGTCTTTACAAAAAATTAACAAAATGAGCCAGGTGTGGTAGCATGCACCTGTAGTCTGAGCCACTGCAGAGGCTAAGGCAGGAGGATCACTTGAGCCAGGGAGGTTGAGGCTGCAGTGAGCTGTGATCATGCCACTATACCCCAGCCTAGGCAACAAAGTGAGATCCTGTCTCAAAAACAAAACAAACAAAAAGATTCAAACTTCAGCTCTGCTACTAACTGGTTTTTTTTTCTACTAGAACACTACTGTTTCTTTATCTATAAAATGAGGACAAGAACTGACTTCTCGGGTTTGTTGTAGGGGTTAAATGAGATGGTGCATGCCACAGACTTAGCACAGCACCTACTATGCTGTAAGAACTCATACAGACAGCACTATCACTGGCCTTGCTGCTGTTATTTACATTCTTTGTTCCTAACGCCTACATTGTACAGGTGAGGAAAGAAAGACCCAGAGATGTGTGAGGCAGGGCATCCTGCCCAGTGTCCCCTGGCCAGTTGATGAAGGGGCAGGTGCTGGCACTGGACCTCCTGCCTCCAACAGCCCCTCTCAGTGGCTAAGCTCCCATGCTGGGTTCTGCCATGCCCTCAGCAGATGCTGTGAGTCATCGGGAAGAGCCTTTGCCCGCATACACATGCACATGCCCACTTCTGTTCTCTTCCACTATGGAGCATGTGCTTTTAAGGTACACATGCAGGTGAAACCATCAAGGTTTTCTTTTGCCTTGCTCCCCAGTTGACTCAAGAAGCTTTTCCATATGTAACACAAGTAACAGGAGATAATGTGAGCACAGGTGTCTGCCCCTTTAAATCCTGTCATCAGAACCACCCAGGGGAACAGAAGGTAGTCTCCAGCCGGTTGGCCTTTCTTTGTCGAATTCTTTTCTAATTCTTCAAGGGTAGTGAGTAGGGGTGGGAGGGGTGCTTCCTCTTTCCTACTTTCCCAAAATGTCCTCAGCAGCAGCTGCCAGGGGCCCTGTGACAGCACAAAGCGCAGATGGAGCAAAGGTCTCCCACAACTAACTGTCCCTGCCTGCCCTCTCCCACCAGCACTCTGTATCCCTACCGTGGTTCTCCCCTAGGGCATGACCATTTGATATCTGAGTCCTTCTGGAACCAAAACCCTTTGGATACAGTTTGAACAAAATATATAAAATAATATTGCATCATAACCCAAAGTATAAAATACATATGTAGAAGCCCATACTAAGATAAATAAATGAGTGGCCAAAGAAATGGAGAAGAGACAAATCTCCCCTGCAGAAGAATTCCAAATGATTTATGTAGATACTTGGCCCTCAAGGAGGTGCAGCATAACTCCCCAACCCTCAGTGTAGGCTGTGTATAATGACTTCCTTCCAAAGGATGCAGTATGGAAAGGTGGAATAAAGACAAACTACACTAAAGCAACCTGACAAACACTGCCTCTGCCAAGTATCAAGATCAACATCAGCAGTGATGTCATGTTGATAGTGTGTACCCTTGATAAATGAGATGAACATAGCACTTGACCTCTGTGGCCTTCCTCTCTAAAACCCATAACCCTAGTCTAACAGTGAAGAGAAAAAAAATTAGACAAATCCCAATTGAGAGATGGTCTACAAAATACCTGACTGGCACCCCTCAAAACTGTCAGGGTCTTAAAAAAAAGGAAAGCCTAAGAAACTGTTATGGACTGAACATCTGTATCCCCACAAAATGCATACATTGAAATCCTAACCCTTAATGTCATGGTATTAGGAGGTGGGACCCCAAGAGGCCATTAGGTCATGAGGATGGAGCCCTCATGAATGAGATTAGTGACCTTATAAGAAGAGATATGAGAGCTTGCTCTCACCCTCTGCTCTTCCACCATGTGAGGACACAATGAGAAGATGGCCATCTGCAAGCCAAGAAGTGAGCCCTCCCCAGACATCTGCCAGTGCATTGATCTTGGACTTTCCAGCCTCCAGAATTGTGAGACACGTATGTGTGTTCTTCAAGTCACCCAGGTCATCTGAACTAAGATAGAAACTGTCACAGCCAAAAAAGTGTAAACTAGAGACATGAGTACTAAAAGCAATGCGGTACCTTGAATGGGGCCCTGGAACAGAGAAAGGTCCCTCAAGGAAATCTAAGGTAGTCTGAATAAAGTATGGACTTTCGTTCACAATAATGTATCCATACTGGTTGGCTCAATAATTGTGAAGACTGTACCATACTTACGTTAGATGTTAATAATAGGAGAAAGTGGGCGTATGGCCTGTATATAGAAGCCCCAGGTGGGTCAGGGGGCTCTAAGGGCCTGGGTATGCCTGGGGCATGGATACTCTTTCTGTGGTATTGCACACTTTTCCTGTAAATCTAAAATTATTCTAAAATAGAAGTTTATTTAAAAACAAAAACAAAAAACCTCCTTGGATAATACGGAACAGAACCACTCATGTTACATTATCTCAGAATCACAAACAATGCCAATGGGTCCTTTTTTCGCCACTCTTCAAATTCTTGGGTTCCTCAGGGGCCCCCAGGGACTGAACGGGCAGGCAGCACCCACCTCCCTTCCCCTCTCAGTTCCCTTTTCATCTGCTTTATACCCTCAGCTTCTACTTTACTGATGAAACAGAGTTCCTCTACTCTAAAGAGTTGACAACTACTGATCTAGCCCAACCTCATCATTCAAGGTACAGGAGGGGGCATACTCAGGGGATTCACCAAGTAAGGGACAGAGCTAGATCTGGAAGCTCATGTGGTGGACACCTGAGGCCGTTCTCCAGGTGTTGTCCCAGCTCTCACCTGTGAGTCTGGAGCTCCTTGAGGCAGGAACAGTGCCTGGTTTGTCTGTGTCCATAGAACCCAGAAGAGCACTTGAGACAGGGAGGAGTCCCATGGGATGAATGAATGACAGTGTTCCCACCACATGACTGTTCCAAAATGACAGTGCTGTTCAAACCAGGAAAATTCTGCAGACGTTTCAGATAAAGGCAAAGTAGAGATCTCGGTGGTCTGCATCCATATATTTAATTAAAATAGACTCTTCTATCTGTCAGTGAGCTTGTGTACTGCAACCTGGCTTTGGAGGAACATTCATGCATCCATTGGTTCACTTTAAAAGCTTTATGGAGGCCAGGTGCAGTGGCTCATGCCTGTAATCCCAGCACTTTGGGAGGCTGAGGTCAGGAGTTTGAGACCAGCCTGGCCAACATAGTGAAACCCCATTTCTACTACAAATACAAAAACATTAGCCAGGTATGGTGGTGCATTCCTGTAATGCCAGCTACTCGGGAGGCTGAGGCAAGAGAATTGCTTGAACCCAGGAGGCAGAGATTGCAGTGAGCCGAGATCATGCCACTGTAATCCAGCCTGGGCGACAGAGTGGGATTCTATCTCAAAAAAAAAAAAACCCAAAAAACAAAAAACTTCATGGAGCACTTCCTACACATTATTAACAATAGCAACCACAATAATTCATACAATAAGCATTCATCAAGCACCCACTATGTGTCAGGCTGAGTTCCAGACATGAGAAATACAACCCTGAACAAGGCAGACACATTCCTGCCCTCAGATAGCTTACATTCCAGTGCCCTAGCAGGGATCCCTGACTGTTATAGATGCTTCCTGTGTGCCATGCATTGAGCTCAAAGGTTCTCATTTCACCCTGTGAGGTAGGGACTTTTGGTTCCCCGATTTTTCACATGGGTAAATAGAGGCCTAATTCCTTGTCCGAAGTTACTCAGTAAGCAAGTAGCTGAGCTGAGATTTGAGCCCAGGCACTCTGAATCAAGAACGCATATTCTCAGTTGGCATATGAGAGAGTAGCTGTGGGTCAGAGGACCTGGCTAGTGAAGCACACACACTAGGTGTCCTATGTGAAACACACACACTTCAATGGAAAATGAAGCAGCCCTTTATTACTAGCAACTGGTCATGCATCCAGCATCCCTTCCTCACTCCCCTCCCCCACCGCCCACCACATGCAGGGCTCTGGGAAAAGCTGAGATAAGGAGTTAAGCTTTGCCAGGAGGTCTGTGCAAGGGTTTCTTACCAAGCACTACTGAACCTAAGATGGTGAGAGCTTCAGAGTGGCCCCCGCATGACTTACCCTCTCAGGCTCAGGCCCAAAGCTGCATCCAGGGTGGGGTGCCTGGCTGGACTAACAGGTGGAGGAGGCACAGAGCCTCTGTTCCTGCCTTTAAGATACAGACACCAACCCACTAGTACGATTTGTTCCAGAGAATATCCTTACTCTGTTCATTCCGACTATCAACATCTCCTCCTGTGGGAGGGGCATGACTAGGGAGGGATTAGAGTTGGGGCAACCCCCAGGCATGAAGGGAGGTATAGTTCTTTCTCATCTAGGAGCAGAGAGGAACTATGGGCAGGGGATGGAAGTATTTTCTCAGTGCATTGTGGGCTCACCCCTGTGCTGGGCACAGGTGGTACAAGGAGAAGAAGCTGGGATTCCTGTCCTAAAAGGATTCACAAGAGGGTAAAAGAGACCACAGACTTCTACATGAATAATATAGCCCAGCGGGGCTGTATGAGCTGGTTGGGTGATGGTGGAGGCTTCTCAGAGGAGGGGTGAAGGCCTTGGTTCCTTTGTCTGAGTCGGGTTTTGAAGAGTGTGTTGAAGTTCTGCACACAGAGAAACGGGGAAAAGAACCCAGGAGTTAGATTCAAGGCCCCGAGCTTAGCAGCCACATGGGGTCGGGGGCTCTCGGGGGCTGGGTGAGCCTGGGCCACAGAAAGTTTGGGCAGGAGTGCGAAGAGTGAGGCTGGGAAGACGGGCTGCACATCAGACTGCAGCAGGCCTCATGTGTGATACTAGGGAACTCGGCCTTTGTTTTCTTTTGATAAGCAAGGAGTTCAAGGATAAGTTTTGAGTTACCTGGTTTTGTCAGGGGAGAGGAGAGTTATGGCTTCGGGGCTTATACAGTCACACTTTTGATTTAGAAATTTATTCTGACAACTCATCTGAAGAACTCATTGTCATTCAAATAATTATTTGGCACCTACCACATACCTGACACTGGTAAGGGGCTAAAGATACAGTGGCAAACTGAATAGACATGATCCTGGCCATCTTTGAGCTTACAGATAGGCAGAAAAGATGAACATTAAAGAAATATTTAATTCCAGTTATGACAAGTCTATGGAGGAAAAGCCCAGCGGGGGTGAGTACATGTATCAGGGCAATACAGAATCTCCTGGGGATGGCAGAGAAGGTTGTGCTGAACTTATGACATTGAAGGTGAGTCCTGGAGCCTGAGTAGACGTGTCTGGTCAGGGGGCAGGAAGAGGGTGTCCCGGGTGGAAGGAACAGCATGCACACAGACCTGGAGCTGGGGAGGAGCACGGCACAGTGGAAAACACAAAGGCGGCTCATGCACTTGGAATACAGCAAGTACGGAACAGAGTGGCATGAGATGGGCAAGCCCTCAAAAGCCATCATAAATATTTCAGACTTTATCTTAATATCAGGGTCAAACCATTAAACAAAGCAAAGTAACAGGATCCCATCAGAATTTTATCCCTATGACATGGGAAACTTATTGGAAGAAGGCTCCATGAAGGCAGAGGGGTCATTAGGAGGCAGAATCAGCAGGCTTTGGGGATTGTCTTTTCTGAGGTGAAGATGAAAAGGGAGAAGTAAGTGGAACGCGATTCTAAGGATTTGAGCTTAGAGAAAGGGACAGATGGCAACTTCAGATCAAGAGGGAGCACACAGGAGAAGGAACAGATGCTGGCAGGGACCAGCAATGTCTGCACAAGAAGAAATCCTGCAACTTTCACTATCACAAAACCAGAGAGCAAAGGTGAGTTTCCAAAGAGGTGGGAGAGGGTCTGGGTTGGAAAAGAGGCCCAGAGAGGCAGTAGGTGGAAGGTCACCTGGTACTCCAAAATTCACTACTTGTACCTCCAAGGGGAGCTGTCAGGGAAGGGCAGGAGCTCTCTGAGCCCCTGCCCTGACCCCACGGAGGTGCAAACTGACTTCCAGCTGGCCAGGTAAAGTGGAATCAAAGGCAGAAAAGTTCCCCACTGGCTGACATTTTGGGGAGCTCACAGAAGGGTGAGTTTCTCAAATCCAATCCCAGCACCAATGAGGAGCTGAAACATATTGTACCCATTAGAAAAGAAATGCAAATCAGAAAGTCAGGCATTTGTGTCCATGACAACAGGGGGAACGTATTTTGGCAAATCTGAGTTCATTTATATTCAAATAAATATTTCAGTCTATGACTCTGGCACTTTTTTGCATGAGATATTTCAGAACCATATTGAATGTTGCTCCCATGCTAAAAACTTGAGAATTAAAATGAGGTCCAATTTCAAAGTCTATCAGGCTCCAAGATTTTGAGGTTGGTTTTACCTCCAGGAATGAAAAAGAATGATAAACTAGAGAGTGATTCAGCACATTTGTACAAAGACTTTTTGAACCGGAAAGGCTGGTTCAATATTATCCCATGAAGCCCCTTCTTTGTGAAAATGGGACAACAGGCTCAAGTGAGGCCAAAGATCACATAGCAAATTAATCTAGAACTCAGGTCTCTGTCAGGCCAATGCCGTCTCCAGCACATCAAGCCTGATGTTAGAATAGGAAGAACAGCAGGTGTCAGAAGACTTTGACACATGATCAAGTTCTTGTCTTTTAAGGTAGGATGTTGTCCTCTAATTACAAAAGCAATCCATGACCTTTGTGGGAAATCTGTGCAGTGTGTTACCCAAGACTTCAAAGATATAACCCGTAGTAAACCCCATAATTCCCCATACAATCACCGGTAGCATTTTAACACATTTCCTTCCAGCTTTTTTTGTGCATATGTCTTGTACATAGTTGAAGTCTTAGTATATGCAAAATTTTGCATCGTAAGCATTTTCCTGAATCATTCAAAACTTTTTCTATGCAAAGAAAAAAGTTAATGGATAAATAATATTCCACGCCATAAAAATACTATACATTTCCTAAATTATTTATTTAATTCACTGGTGGATATTTAGGTAATATCCAATTTTTATCATTTAAATAATATTTTGTTGGGTATCTTCATGTTTAAATCTCTATTTACACATCAGATTATTTCCTTGGACTAAATTTCTAGACATGGAATTATTGGGCTAAAGGGTATAAGCATTTTAAAGACTCCTGATGTACATTGCGTTGCAGAAAAGGTTATATTGTTGCTAGTGCAAGGTGGAATGCAAATCTCACTATACTCTGACCAATTCATTAAGCACCATGCCAGCCTTCAAGGAGCACACAGCCCAGCAAGGGGTGCGAGGAAAATGGCCTAGATAAACAACCTGCTACCATAATTTAGAGGAGTAAGGTGAGATGCTCGCCCTTACCGCAGAGAGATATTCCTAATTAGATGCTGACTCTGTTCTCTGGGAGAACCTGCCACTTTCATTACTTTTTGTGGCTCCTGACTTGGCTCTCAGAAGTTTCTCCTTGCTCACTGTCTTCTGTGGCCCCATCTGAAGTGGGTTTTGTAGAATATTCCCTTCTTGAAGGCTCTACAACTTTTGCAGCTGCTTTCTTCTGTGCAAGTTCAGGGACTCAAGAGGTGTTTTAAGACTAACCAGCCAAGTTGCTCTTGAGCTCACCTCCTTCTGGTAACACATTGCAAAAGCAGAAAGTAAAATCCAACTGATACTGTTGCTTTGACTCTTTCAAACTGTGTGCTCTAATGCAGCAGGCTCAGTAGGCACCTGGTCTGCATTCCAAGTTGTCACAGGTGATTTTCACCAAATGGTTTGCCCCTGTATGTCATGGTTTTCCTTAATTCCAGCTCCAAAATAAGTTTCCTTGCTGCCTGTCACCTGACCACCAAGTCAATGTCATGTATTTTAGGTTTTTGTAACAGCAGCACCCCACTTCTGGTAACAAGTTCTATATTAGTTAAAGTAATACTGGCTGCTGGAGCATAAAACCCCCCAAATCTCAGTGAATTAACACAACATAAGGTTTTTTTAAAGTCCCTGAAAGTCCTAAAAGTGGGGCTAATCTGACCAGTAGGCTGCTCTCCTCCATTAGTGACTCTCTTTCCCAGGTTCTTTTTATCTTTTGGCTCTGTCATTTTCACCCCTTAGCATATGAGGTGACTGTGCTTACCTGCATCAAGCTGGGAAAGGGAAAGAGAATGGAAAAGAGAATGTTAGATATTTTTTAATGGCCAGGTCTGGAGTAGCTTACATCAGTTTCACTGACAATCCATCAGCTAGAACTTAACTGCACACACTTAACTGCAAAGGAGAAGGAGATGTGTAGTTCATCCTCAAGCCAAGGAGGAAGACAAAACGGCTTTTGATGAACTCATGGCGATGTCCTCACTACCTTTCACAGTGCACTCTACATTTGCATGGTTCATCTCTTTATCTCACCCCATTCCTGCCCCTGTCAACAGAGCCTGTCTTTAATTAAAATGTTGGTATTTTATTCATCAAGGATTTTTTCATTAATTTTAATTTTTAAAAATACTACATTAAAATATTATGTCTCTTGATTATTGAGCTTTTTTGGCACCCCCTTAAGCTTGGCCCACTCCTCTGACCCAAGTTCCAGCCCTAGAATCAGGAAGAGGAAACCCACTGGGATGGATTTTTCCACAATTTGAGGGAAATACATTCCACTTTCTTCTCTTTTGAAAGAACACCTCACCCATGAGGCTCCTCCATCACTTATTACTCATGTTATGTGGAAATTGAACTAGACGTGGAGTCAAATCCTAGCACAATCATGGACTGGCTGTGTGGCCTGGCACAGTTCCTTAACCTGTCTGTATGTGCTTGTTCATCTCTTCAGTGGGATCACAAATCCTGGGTCAAGGGGTCCCGAGGTAGGGCGTGAGAAAGACCTCAGGGCCAGGTTCATGGAAGGCATATAATAAATACTGGCAGAATCTGGATCCAAAGTGTTTATTGAAAAGCCCAGCCTGGGCTGGGTATAGTGGCTCATGCCTGTAATCCCAGAATTTTGGGAGGCCGAGGCAGGCAGATCACGAGGTCAGGAGATCGAGACCATCCTGGCTAACACAGTGAAACCCCGTCTCTACTAAAAATACAAAAAAATTAGCCAGGCATGGTGGCGGGCGCCTGTAGTCCCAGCTACTTGGGAGGCCAAGGCAGCAGAATGGTGTGAACCTGGGAGGCGAAGCTTGCAGTGAGCTGGGATCATGCCACTGCACTCCAACCTGGGTGACAGAGCCAGACTCCATCTAAAAAACAAAAAACAGGCCGGGCGCGGTGGCTCAAGCCTGTAATCCCAGCACTTT